TCGAAGCAGCTTCAGGCTGGAACGATTACTTTGGGCCTTATTGAGCTCAAGGGTGATGGAAAGTGGCGTCATATTCTGAGGACGGTGAAGGCAGTGGAGTGCGCCTGCTTTTACTTATGGAGGACATCTAAGGGATATCTTGACCGTAAAACTTCCATCAACAGCGGCAGCCTGTGCGAAGAAAAGTTTGATGATGTGCGCCATAGGCAAAGTGCCTCTTTTTTTGATCACCCTGTATATCTGGTATGCATTTGTCTCTCTCTCCGTCCGCAAAGTGAAGTGCCTGTTCTATCACTTTTGAAGGAATCTTCGGAGAGCGACCTTATGAATTTGCGGCTAGATAGACATACACAATCGTTATAAGGAAGGTCTTTCAGGGTGTGCCAAGCTTTTTCAAAACGGTCTTTTGCATGATATAGAGGCACATGCGGGAACCACAGAACCATGGTTAATTTTTCCTGAACGGCCCTCTGAATACCAGAAAAGGGGGTCCCTAGTCACACCTTTTTCACCAGTTTTTCAATCAAAGTCTATTTGTAAGGGTTACTGACGTTCCTAATCATGAATTTGGTACTAATTATTCATGCTAACTCCATTTTGCGCGAATTTGGAAACGTCAACACGAAATGCAAAAATTGTCACCACGAGGAATCGAACTAGGGACCCCTTTTCTGGTATTCAGAGGGCCGTTCAGGAAAAATGAACCATGCTTCTGTGGTCCCCATATGTGCCCCAATGTCATGCAAGAAACCATTTTGAAAAAGCTTGGCACACCCTGAACGACCTCCCTTGTTAGAGATAAAAACACTGGCCTGTACATCGGCTGGCCCCCGCAAGGCTATTGTATAGGCCTAATCGCATCTCAAATCTTGAGCTTGTATTAGGTCGTCTCATAAGTAGTGTCGCTTTTTTTGCGCGAAAAATTTTCTTCTAGATCTCCATGCTTTTGCGCTACTTTAGCAATTCGAGAGAGAATTGTCTGCACTACAATATTATGCTTCTCTTCCACCACTGTTGCAAGGCGCTTTCAAATTTTGGGCCTGCGAAATGAGAGGTCCAGAAAGAAATAAAAGTTACCAACCTGTCTAAGTTATCTCCCTAACTTTATCTTATCTTGGGAGAAATCAATCAATGATGTGCCCTCCACTCACTCGCGGCCTCTCCAAATAATTCTGCTTTTGGGCTGCTGAAAAAGCTTTGCCGTGTTTCTTTTCGAATCGGCTGACCGATGAGCCATGGCAATTTCTAAATTGAACTTTTTCCTCTGAAACGCATTGTTCTATATCAAGTGGTGTTTCCTTTTGTGAGCACTGTCCGCTTCTGTCTTATTCGCACTTTTGTTTTGTGTAGTAATTTAGTCTGATTAACAAATAAACAAAAGGAAAATGCAGACCTGGCGGCCCACATAGATAACCGCGATCGTAATGAACTTTGCGTCACCATTTGTCAGCGACAAACTGGCTCGTGAGATAAACCGTGCGGTGAGAAATTCTCAGCTTCCAATTCGACTGGTCTTCCGCCCTCCCCCTACACTTAAGGATCTTTTCACTTCATCGCGGATCTACGAAAGTCGGTGTCACGAAGAATCTTGTCGGTATTGTACGTCGGAAAAGATTTGTGAACTCCAAGGCACCGTCTATCTCGTTCAGTTGTGGAGGATGTGGAGAGAAATACGTGGGGGAGACGGCAAGACCACTGAAGGTTCGACTAGACGAACATAGAAGAGCCTTGGCCAACCCCGCTGCCTATCCTCGCAGCAGTTTTTCCAGACACCGCACATTGAAGCATGAGAGAGAGGACGCCCCGTCCTTTGACGTGAGCGTTCTTCACAGACATTTGGTGCGGCCGCTGGAAAGGAAAATCATGGAGGCGCGGGAAATACATCGTATAAAGCCAGAAATCAACGCGAAAGAGGAGCTACGTGACCTTCTGAGGCTTCTTTCGTAATCACCTAAGTCCTTTGCCTCGGGGTTGGTGCTTCATTTCCCATTCCCGCCAGACCCTGAAAGGTCCCACTACTCTCCTTCTCTCGCTGGTATGTATTGATGTATAGTGTTTTTGTAATGTAACTAGTTGATCATGTGCAATTGTTGTAATTTTAAGGTCTGATGATGGCATTATTGCCGAAAGCTAACCAATAAATAGTAAATTACAAGAGCTTCCAAACTCACTCATCAATACAATATTGTGAATTAGTTCGAATTTATTAGGTCATCTCATTCAAACATGTCCAGACATCTAGAGAAATGGTGGGAAAAGTAAAAGAGCTAGAGCATTCTGCTTGCTTTTGTTTTGAAGCTAGCACACCTAGCTACGGTATACCCCAATTAAGTTTGTAGTGCCGCAGAAGGGAACACTTAAAAATATAAGAAAACTCATAGTGACCAAAATCGAGGCGGAATTTCCAAATGATTGGTGATACACGTAAAATTCGCAACTCAAATTCTCTGTGTGCTGGCTCAGCTTACGCGTGATACAGTGTTCTCGAAAGTGCTACGTTGAAGATATGTGTGAGAGCTCAAAGAAGGAAGAACGGATGCGAGTTGTGGTTGAGGACGCGCTCACATTGCCCACCTTGTCCAAGAAGAGCGGGTTAATGAAGTGAGATTTCAAATGGCGCATCACAGATGCTGCACCTTTGCGATGTTTGCCCATGAGACTTGCAGTCTAGCTGCAGCTGTTACGCGAATTGTGCCCAAAAATTGGAGATGGTCCATAGAACATGTTTTTGGAATATCTCATTTACTCCCAGATGCAAGGAGTCCAGAATCGAATTGGTGTCTGTAGCATTGATCTTCTCTGCCAATAACGTCATTTAAGAGTATCAAACTGGACCTGCTCATAAACGAAATTTGAGTGGAATTGTACCCTGAGGCCGAAGTCTCAAGCGTTGGATTAACGCGAATGAGGAACTACCCGAATTGGATCACGAAAAGTCACGTGGGTTCACGTGGATGATGATTATGGCGATGGATTTCTGAGATGTGCCTCTTAAGCGGCTCTGTCGGGAAAAAACCTCCATCGGTGCTCAAGTGTATGGCTTGTTTCTTAGCGATCAAATTGACAAAGGAATAGCAGTAGAAAAACTACAATAACGATATCATCACCTATGTCGATGCCAGACCTACATAGCTCATATTGCTCACGGGTATTTCGATCAAACGGATATTGTGACCTCTTCTTATCAGCCGTATTTTCCCAACTGCAGCCGTGCGACCTCAGCTGTTTTATCGAACTGAACGCCCTACTCGTTCGGAAGCGCTACGACAATTCGTTGATCATCTATACTGACATCAAAAGCATCTTGTCTATACTTGTTGAAATGAAGAAGCTGCGCGGTGTCCAGTGTTTTCTAGACGCTGGGATCGGGTCGTTAACAACGACAAGATCTGCTTGACTTCACACCAAAGTATTAGCTTTTTATCTTTCCTGCTGTTCATTTTATTCGAATAAAACCGTGGACATGTTTGAATGAGATGACCTAATAGGTTTGCGCGGTTAAGGTGTTTTGTCCACGAAAGTGACCGCATTTCTTTGAAAAAAATTATCCTGAGAAGATGAGAAAATCAACCAGGCGTACATTCCTAACTTAGTCATGACTTGTTCTTTAAATTCTACTAGTTTTTCAATGTCTCGGCTGTAAAAAAATTTCGACCTAGATCTCAGGTAATGGTGCTCGACCGTCGAGTTCTGGTTGAAAAACCAGGTCTGGAAATGGAACGACGCGACTTGTTGGGAAACCTAATAGTGTAATGTTTAGAAGAGGTCATGTATAAGTAGAGGGTACATCATTGATTGATTTCTCCAGGGAAGATAAAGTTAGAGCTAGTTGTCGGTTTGGTCAATTTTTGTCGGCTGGACCTCCCATTTCGCAGGCCTAAAATTTGAAAACCCTGGAACAATGGAAGAGAAACATAGCATCTTGTAGAGCAGACAATTCTCTTTCGAATGGTATATGACTGATGTAAAAGCATGGGGATTTAGATGAAAATTTTTGGTTGAAAAAAAGCGACACTACTTATGAGACAACCTAATACAAACCACAAAGTATTAGGTTGGAAAGAAAGTCCTGCAACACTTTTTCAATTTTTGATTTTAATTTTATCTTTTTTGTTACAACTCCTGACCGGTCTATATCTACCATGAGTGTCCACCACTTGTCTTCAACGCTCAGAAAATTTCTTGATGCTCCTTTGCCAAAACCCAGCGGAGTGCGGGTCGAGAAAGGAGGCGACCTCACTTTCGAGTTGGAGTTGATCGTCTAATTATTTCGTGATGATTAAGGTTCAGGATAGGTAGCAATCTCTTACAGCTTAACTACCCTAAGGCAGCTCGTCAAGAGCCCTTAGGGTATTTCCCTAAGGACTCTTGACGAGCTGTCTCGGCCAGCTTCTGGAGTTCCGCAGCCTAGACCTCTACCTACACAATGGTGCCCATAACGAAGAATTTGTAGTGGAGCTTCCGTAAGAGCCCTACCTGTAATGGAGTGTGCGGGACGCTGCTGGCTTCTTATAAAAATATCAAAAGATCGAAAGGTGAAACACGCTGTAGCGGTGAACGACATGCCTATTGAAGCTATTGCAGATAGTGTTGGTCGTTGACACGAATCCATAGTTATGGAGACATTTGTACTAGACAGTGACTCGGAGTATGGATTTACTAGTGGTCGAGGTTTTTTGAATTTTCTTGGATAAGCACTAAATGTGATTCAGAAAAAAAAATTCTGGAAAGAGTGTTGAAGAACTTTCTTTCCAATCTGATACCTTGCGATGCGTGATTAAATCGATGGTGTGAAACCCAGAGACTCCACTGCTTCGAACAAAATCTGTGCAGTCCCGGTTGACTTGATTCACTCCCAATCTCTCTCCAGTCTTGTGGCAGCAGCTACCAACAATATTCTTTTTGTTCGCACATTTCAACAGTATTGAATACAGCAAATTTTGTCTCCCTTTGATAAGCGCACTCGACAGCGATCGGTAAATATAAAAGAATCTTATCAGGTATCGGGAGATGTGCGTATCAGTCGGACCACATACCGATTCGAGCTGTTTATTTAATACGAATCTTCGGGAAAATCCGGTCGATTTGCAGCGCTGAAGAAACACGAAGGATTGGGGTGAGAATCACTTTTCGTTGTAACGATAGTGCTCCCCTTAATACGTGAAGCACGTTTGGAGGTATATTCTGTTGTGTGCTCCACCTTCGTCCTAAAGCTTTGGCATTTGCTCGGATGGTAGTGGATCCTGTGTCAGATAGGTTTAGAAGGAAATTTCCATTAACCCGACTATTTTATCAGAACGGTGTAGCCACTTTTCTGTTATATGTTACTGTTATTCCTATGTACAGTCGATATCCGAAAGTTGGGGTGGGTGTGTCACCGGAAGTGACGTGCACTTGATAGAAGTGCGTGGATAAGCTGTTGCCAGCATGCTTTGCTGATATCCAGCGATGTATGTTGGAAGCAGCTTATCCACATAGTTTCTATCAAGTGCACGTCACTTCCGGTGACACGCCTACCCCAACTTTCGGATATCGAGTATATATAGGAAGTAAGGCTGACTGATCGCTCACCGCTACCATGGCATATAACAGAAAAGTGGCTACACCGTTCTGATAAAAT